TGGCTTTTAAGTGAAAAGCAAATTGACTTGTTGCGTTACATAGAGTTGCCCGTATTTATCTTTGGAGATTATATTTGGATCAGTTTGTTTAAAACTCCATTTTCAGCTACCAAAGCTATTAATTTGAAGGCCGCCTATTGTTTGAAACATCATAGCTCTGTTCTCTGTTTCTGGACTCATCACAGAGAGCCTCTGTGTTAGGGTTGTTTTCATTTATACAATTGCCTGTATTTTGGAACCTCTTTTCTCCTGCTGTAGCTCACCCGGGCCTTCCCTGTCACAGAGGCTATCAGTTCCCAAGCCTTCTAAGTAAAGAAAGGCAGTAAAATAGGCATAGGCAAACTCGGCCCTCCAGATGTTTTAGGACTACAATTCCCATCATCCGACCACACGTCCTATTAGCTAGGAATGATGGGAGTTGTAGTCCCAAAACATCTGGAGGGCCGAGTTTGCCTATGCCTGAAGTAAAACAACCTGTTCTGAGGGTGTTATCAACTGGCCCCCAGACAGAAGCCTGCCTGAGACAAGGCAATGACACACCTTCCCTATTGCCCATACAGAGACCTTAATGGAGTGGCAGTTGAATCTTCAACACTGGTGATGGGATATCTTCCATTTCTACACCTGAGGGCATCAGGCTAGTTTGGGGGGAGAGGTGGGTGCAGGATAAGCTGTGCAGTATACACAGGTATGTCCTTCCAACAGAAGGGAATGGCCCCAGGGCTTGAGGGGAACAGCCAAGGGATTATAACTGATGCCTCCCAGCTTTTGCTGAGGGGTTGTAACCCACAGGCTAGCAGCTATGTCAGGAGTATCAGGAAGCTGGCACACTTCCGCTAAGTGCTGTCAGGGTCCCATCTAGATGCATTACAGTCAATTCCAATATAGCTGGGTCAGCAGGCTAATTCTCAGGAGCCGCCATGGCCTATTTTTTGAACAACATGTTTTCACCTAAGTTGGTCACTGATGTAGAAGACCATCATCAACGCATAAAGGTTGATCGCATGCCTTGGATTGCCAGTTTGCCTGAAATTTGTTTGCTTGCAAGATTCTGTGTTCTGATACATTCTCATCCAATAACTTTCCCTATTCTTTTCCTCTGCACTCTCCACCCCACCCCACCATGGGCGTAGCCAGGCATTATTTTAAGGGGGGGGCTTTATGGGAGGGCAGAACCGAGTTATCTGCAATGCAGTTGGTCAGTTGAGTATTTTTATTTGTTTACTTGCTGGGGGGCAGCTGCCCCCTTGGCTACATCCATGCACCCCACCCCAATTGTTTGGGTTCACGTGAGCCATTTGCCCTCCTGAATTCAGGATAATAGAGTGACATTTTTCTATGGGTGACCCTACTTTTTTCTCACCGTTAAGTGGGAAGACTCCATTTGAGCTTTTAACAATATTTTAAGCAGCATTTTATAACTTAAGCCTCCTTTCTAATACAGGGCCTTTGAATTGAAAGGACGAGAGAGAGAGAGAGAGGTCAGTTCAGTTATGTTAATGAAAAAGGAGTCCAGTGTTCAGTATGGTGTTGCCTAGCAACTCATATTCTCTGCCTTTGAAGGAGGAGGAAGGGAGTGTGTCTGCATTTTCTATTGCTCTCTTACACTGGAGATTTAAGCTTCCTATAGCAGCATATACAGTATATATAGCTATGGATACCTATACATACAACTATAGCAAGCTCTTTATATAAGCTCTTTGTTATCATACAGTATGCTTGAATTGTTTTGTGTCCTATAGTTTCAAGGAATAGGTTCTCAGTCAAATTGTGTCTTTATGATCATAGTAGCAAGAGAAACCAAAATGATCAATTCTATACCTTTCAAATCTAAACACAAGCAACCCCTACACTAGGTAGCTGAAAAATGAAACCCTTAAGCATTGCATTTAGCATTTCAAAATAGTGGGATAGATAGTGGGATGCACATTTTCTAAAGTGAAACCACAAATAATATTTTTTCCAAAAATCTTTTATGCAGCAGTTTGAGATGCAATCTAGCAGTGGAAGTTTTGTCACTGACTTCAGTGAGAGATGTGTGGCAACAAAAATCATTATAGCAGGGTAGCCACAGGTACGATAGGGGGCAGGGCTCCTGCACCTTTGATAGTTGTGTAGAAGAGAAGATTTTAGCAGTGTTGCTTGTTATGCCTGCTACACAATTCTCTCTTCTATTCAGCTCTAAAGGTGCATGATCCTTGTCCTCTTGCACCTGAGCTATGGCTCTGTGGTAAAGCATTTGATTGACCTGCAAAGGATCCCAGGTTCAAGAAAGTCCCTGGTCTGAATCTCTGGAGAACCACTGCCAGTCATTGCACTGAGTTAGATGGACCAATGGTTTGACATTGCATAAGGTAACTTCCTGTGTACCTACTCTCTTATGTTAGCATGATACAGTACAGTTCTGGGATTAAATATCAGTGTATGATAAAACAAAAACCATCAATTTACACACTTGCCTATGAAACAGCACTACATTGCTTTGGCAAATTGATAATTATTTAGTTTTTCCATTTGTCTTGAAGATGCTGGAAAGTATTGGTTGTACAGAAGAAATGGAGGTGGAAGAAATAGGATGAAAGTAACAAGAAAAAGGGCTTTGCAGTTCTATGCATATTTACATGAATTCAGTGGTACTTCAGAGCAAACATACACAGTATCATGCAGCACAGATCAAAAGAGCAAAAAGCTGCTGTAGAGTATTGTTTAAGTAAAGGTGAAGGTGAAGGTAAAGTACCCCTGGACGGTTAAGTCCAGTCAAAGGCAACGATGGGGTTGCGGCGCTCATCTCACTTTCAGGACACACAGCTTTCTGGGTCATGCGACCAGCATGACTAAACCGCTTCTGGTGCAACGGAACACTGTGATGGAAACCAGAGTAGCGCACGGAAATGCTGTTTACCTTCCCGCTGCAGCGGTACTTATTTATCTACTTGCATTGGCGTCCTTTCGAAATGCTAGGTTGGCAGGAGCTGGGACAGAGCAACAGGAGCTTACCCGGTTGCAGGGATTTGAACTGCTGAACTTCTGATTGGCAAGCCCAAGAGGCTCAGTGGTTTAGACCACAGTGCCACCCACGTCCCTACAGAGTATTGTTTAACAGAACAACTCTGTGTGTTTACTCAGAAATAAGTCTACTATTGTCAATGGGGCTTGTTCCCCAAGTATGCATTTGATTGTTCATTTGAGCAAAAAACACAAGTGAGATTAGGACATTAACAACTTTCCTTTTTATGGTGCTAGATTAATTTACATTTTAACTCATACCATGCAGTGGTGTTGGCTAAAAAGTCACACAGTTCATGACATAAAGCCTAGTTGAAGGGAAAGCAGCTGTTAATGAGGTGGGGGTAAAGAACCACTGCTCCCACATGTCCTCGGAATTGACCCTTCATGCACCAGCTTTTCCTGAAGGGAAAAAGGGGGTAGGCTTAAAATTTCTAGTCTTCAGCCTCTTTATGTAAAATCTTAGAAAAGCAAACGGACCTTATTCTTATCATTAATAATATGTCATAACTGAACTAGTCAACCTGGATAAAAATGAGGGGAAATGTGAGATTTCTTCCCAGCCACCTTACAAGAACACAGAACTGTGAAATCTACTTTATGCTGTTAAAAAGGAGACGATTCATATTTCCTATGGAAAGAACTGAAATACAGTAATGTAAATACTTCTTAAAATATTGCAGCATCTGGTCAACATTACTTTTTTCAGTGTAATTTGAAAATAAAATGCATGATGCCAAACTAAATATATATCTTTCTTTATAAATTACTCAAGCAAGCAACAATAACACTCTACAATTCATACTTGTTTCAATCTCAGAGCATCTTGTCAATTTCCACTGTTAAAACAGTTCCCTGTCATTCCCAAAGCATGCAGTTTTCCATTTTCCTTTACACTATTTGTAGCTACCACATAGGTATTTTTGAGCACTGAGTGTCTGACATCTCCAGCAATAAAATGTAGATTTTACAAAATCTTTGTGGTGACACCTGTGCAAAATTCTATTATTGTGTCTTCTAGATTCAAGGACCAAGTGATGCCTGCAGAGGCATTGTTAGGATGTCCCTGTTCTTTTCGTTAAAGCCCCCGACCTCTTGCCCCGTTCCCCATTTCTAAAAAATCTCTTTAGGTTGGCTGAAAATTGTGCAAAGAGTCCCAGGTGAAATCTAGACACATACTAAAAATGCTGTGAAAATGCTTTTTTTACGAAATGCTTTGAAAAATATATTGAATTTGCCATAGCTCACCATCTCCATCTAGTGTCACATTTGTATAATACACTTTACAACAAACTTAAAATGTTTGATTTGCAGCTGTATAGCTGAGTCTCCTGCCACTCAATGAGCTCAGAGGCAAATTGAACCCTAACAACAAAAGCCAGCTTTGTTTTCTCCCCTCAGAAAATTGGCCAAAATTTGCATCTTGACATAAATTGTTGTACCTATTTCATGCAAGTTTACGTCATGGGTTTGTGCCTATTAAGTAAATGGTAAAGGACCCCCGGACAGTGAAGTCCAGTCAGAAGGCGACTCACCTCGCTTCAGTTGGAAAGTATACCAGTGCAAGTAGATAAATAGGTACCGCCGCAGCAGGAAGGTAAATGGGCTACAGTGGTACCTCTGGTTATGTACTTAATTCGTTCCGGAGGTCCGTTCTTAACCTGAAACTGTTCTTAACCTGAAGCACCACTTTAGCTAATGGGGCCTCCCGCTGTTGTCGCACCGCCGCCGCGTGATTTCTGTTCTCATCCTGAAGCAAAGTTCTTAACCCGAGGTACTATTTCTGGGTTAGCGGAGTCTATAACCTGAAGCGTATGTAACCTGAAGCGTATGTAACCCGAGGTACCACTGCATTAAGTTTCTAGCAATGTGCCCGGGGACCTGTATTCTTGATCCGCTTCTATAATGATATTGAACACTCCATCTCTTTCTCCCATTCATATATCACAGCCACACCGATATATTACCCTAAATTTGCCAGCGAACTTCTGCTTTTCGATTTACCCTCATTTTTCCATCAGGGCCTTAAAAACACATAGCAAGGGCCATGCAATTCCCCTTCCTTTTACTGCTTCCACGTTGCAACGAACGCCGCAGGAGCTCATCCATCCGTGTATCAGTTTGCTGAATTAATGCTGCTCTGGAGTTTCCATTGCTCAAGCACACACACACCCCTCCTCTGCCCCTCGGAAATAAGCTTCGCAGGAACCCCAGTAAAGAGTCGCCAAGGAGCGCAGAAGAGGTGGAAACAACGGCAGCGTCCGGGCGGCAGAGCCTCCGGGCGTCAAAAAGCCATAGAGGGCAGCGGAGGAGGAGGAGGAGGAGGAGGATCATTCTGGGGCCTCCGTGCTTCTCGCGCCCGCCAGGGGCACGTGGGCCTGGGGCCTTCCGTTGGAGGAGCGGAAGGAGGGGCTGCGCGCGCGCGCCTTACCTGAGCTGCCCAGGTGAGCCACTCAGGTGAACGCCCTCCTCGGCCCGACGCTCACCTGGGCGCTGCCGAACCTCACGAAGCGGCCAATCGCAGGCCAGGGTTTTTCGCTCGCCGCCCTGGCAACGGAGCGCCGCCGCCGCCGCCGTGGAGAAGGAGGGAAGGAGGGCAGAGGAAGGCACGCTCGCTCCTTCCTTCCTTCCACGCCGAAGCCGAAACCGCTTTCTTCGCGTTGCTGGCACAGGTAAGGGCGGGGCTTATTCTGCTGGGTGGCTGCCTGTGGAGGTCAATGAGAGAAGAAGGGGGGGGGGGGTCGCCCGCTGCCGTTGCTTCAGGGGGCGAGCGTCGGTTGCTGGCTCGGAGAGCCGTTTGCAGAAATGGCCATGTAGGCTGGGAGGCTCCGGGTTGGAGCGGTTGCGCCCTTCGCCCCCCTCCCCACCTCCTGCTCCTCCTCTCCCGCCCTATCCCGAGGTAACGAGGATGGGGAGGGGGGTGTTGCTGGTCTTGTTCTACTAGTCCTCTGGGGAGATTTTATAGGTACAGTATAGATCAGATACAGCTATGTAGTGGAGAGAGAGAGAAAACACACACACACACACACACACACACACACACACACACACATTTTTACTCTGTGTGTATGTGTGTGTGTCTATATATATGTGTGTTTGTGGGTGTGGGTGTAAGGAAAAGGTAAATGACCCCTGAACTGTATGGGTATATGTATGGGTATATGTATGGGTATGTATGTGTATATGTAGGGACGCGGGTGGCGCTGTGGGTTAAACCACAGAGCCTAGGACTTGCCAGTCAGAAGGTCGGCAGTTCGAATCCCCGCAACAAGGTGAGCTCCCATTGCTCGGTCCCTGCTCCTGCCAACCTAGCAGTTCGAAAGCACATCAAAGTGCAAGCAGATAAATAGGTACCGCTCCTGCGGGAAGGTAAACGGCATTTCCGTGCGCTGCTCTGGTTTGCCAGAAGCGGCTTAGTCATGCTGGCCACATGACCCGGAAGCTGTACACCGCAGCCAAGAAAGCGAGATGAGCGCCGCAACCCCAGAGTCGGTCACGACTGGACCTAATGGTCAGGGGTCCCTTTACCTTTACCTTTTACCATTATTCCAGCGCCGTTTCCCGCTGCTTCCAGCTGCTATCCCGGATTGTTAGATATCCTGTAGACTGTCCCCGGGAAAGGTGAGGCTGCTGATCCCTTATTTTCGAGGCTGCTGATCCCTTATTTTCAAATCTGAAAGTTGACAGCTATGGAGAGAGAGCCCCTGGGCAATGATGCCTTGTGGGCTCATATAACTGCGTGAACGGGTATGTTTCGAACTCATGCCTGGTCCTAAGCTGCAGGGGCCAACACCTAGGGGCCAAGGTCCCTTTGCTCCCCACCCCTCCCAAATGCAGTATTTGAGGAGGCTGCCCCCTGCCCAAGTGGATGGGCATTGCCATTCAACTGGTGTGTGGGTGTTGCGTCATGTGATCAGTTATGCAGGGCGGTGCTTGCCTGCCCCACCCCCAATATTTTATTCAAGTTGGCAGCCCTGTCCTAGGAAGGATCCCCAATGTGGGATGATCCTGGGGTACCCTTGCCAAGGGTGTTTTAAGGTGTGCCGAGATTAGGCATATGAAGTGCTTTGAAAAGTGCCTACATAAAATAGTAAGGCTCCAATTTTAAACCGCAGGGGGTAAGTTTGGTTAAGCCCAGTGGGATTTGCTTCAGAGTAAGTATGCTTAGGGTTAGGTGGGCTCTGGTGTGTAAGGTTTATCATAGGACCCTAGGAAGTCAGGCCAATGGTCTGGCTGTGTTGCATTGTCTGAACTGTTGCTGTGCAGCTGGCAGGCAGAACCTCTTGTTCTTGGACCTTTCTCTGCAAAGTTTTGGGATAAGAGATTTCAGGAGACTGCCCTCACCCCAATGTCAGTTGTTAGGAAATAGCTGTGGGAGAGGGCAGCTGAACTCATGTCCTGCTTGTAGGCTTCCCTTGGGCACCAGGCTGGCTACTGTGAAAAAACAAGATTCTGGACTAGATCAGCTTTTGGTCTAATCCTGCAGGGTTCTTGGACCAGGCCTGACTGAATTCAGCTATAACATTTGGGAGCAGCCATAGTACTTTGTGTTTCTTGCAACGGTGCCCCCATGGGGATTAGGGTGGCCAGAGGTGGAGGAAGATGTGAGCATCTTCCTGTACAATTTTAATTGTTGTGTAATATGTGTTGTTCAGTGTATTGAATGGGTGGGATTTTGGGTGTGTGTAACTTGCTGAAATTGTGCAGGAGAGACACAAGATATTAAAGGTTCTAAAGCTTTTTCTTAAGCTCTGCCCAACCTCAGAACAGAATGGTGTGCATTGTAAAAAAGAGTGTGAATAGGCGGCTCTGATCTTCCTTATCCTTCCAGGAACTGCTGCTGCTGGTGATGTGGAAGGTCAACAGAAGATGTTGACATAAAGAAGGGAGGTGTGTGTGGTTGTAGTTGGCTTTCCCATGACTCACAGGCTACACCACACTTTAGCTAGCTGATACATTTAGCTTTACAAGGAGGTGGTGATCTTTAGAATGTCAAATGCCTAACCCATGGATTAGCAGTAGTATCACATATGTAAAGATGTATAATTAATTTGTCATTTTCTGTAGTTATAAGGGTGGGAATCCCAGGCTCAAGAAAATTTGATGTTGGTTCCCAACTACATGGATTATTTTTTTTGTCCGCCAGACTACAATGCAAGTGCCTAAAAATTATCCCTAAAACCAAAATTGAATGCACACCATTGATCCTAAGGAAGTAAATCCCATTGAATCCAATTGAACTTCCTGTATAGTAAGTATTTTAGGATTGGAGCTTTAGAACTTTAATATTTCAGCTGATGTGATTTTTTTATATATTCAAAATATTACTGTTAAAATGTGGTGTTTTTGGAGCTTAAAGGTAAAGGTACCCCTGCCCATACGGGCCAGTCTTGACAGACTCTGGGGTTGTGCGCCCATCTCACTTAAGAGGCTGGGGGCCAGCGCTGTCCGGAGACACTTCTGGGTCACGTGGCCAGCGTGACATTGCTGCTCTGGCGAGCCAGAGCCGCACACGGAAACGCCGTTTACCTTCCTGCTAGAAAGCGGTCCCTATTTATCTACTTGCACCCGGGGGTGCTTTCGAACTGCTAGGTTGGCAGGCGCTGGGACCGAGCAGCGGGAGCGCACCCCGCCGCGGGGATTCGAACCGCCGACCTTTCGATCGGCAAGCCCTAGGCGCTGAGGCTTTTACCCACAGCGCCACCCGCGTCCCTTTTTGGAGCTTAGTTAGGAGTTTATGGCTTGTAAGAGAGTGCTTCTTGAAGCTTAATTTTAAAGTTCCATGCACAAGCCCATTTTTTTCCTGATGACTTTTGCTTGAAAGAAATGGCACGTGGCATTTCTGCATTTAGGTTAGCATCAAGTTGCATGTTTATGACTAATGAGACCTTTGCTCAGCCAGCGGTATACCATCAATGTCAATTCACTTCATTTGACTGCAGTTAGTTGCATTAGTGTACCATCAGTTTCTGTGATTAGAATATATACAAGGCGGAATAATACATTTTGTATTATTTGTCAAGTACATGGGTCTTAGTACGTTTCCGAGCACAATTCAAAGTATTGGTGCTGACCTTTAAAGCCCTAAACGGCCTTGGCCCTGTATACCTGAAGGAGCATCTCCACTTCCATCGTTCAGCCCAGACACTGAGATCCGGTACCGAGGGCCTTCTGGAGGTTCCTACACTACAGGGAAGTGAAACTACAGGGAACCAGGCAGAGAGCCTTCTCAGTAGTGGTGCCTTCCCAGTGGAATGCCCTCCCATCAGATGTTAAGGAGATGAGTAATTATATAACATTTAGGAAACATCTAAATACAGCCCTGTATAGGGAAGCTTTTTAAGGTTTAATGTTTTACAGTGGTGCCCCGCAAGACGAATGCCTCGCAAGACGAAAAACTCGCTAGACGAAAGGGTTTTCCATTTTTTGAGTCGTTCCGCAAGACGAATTTCCCTATGGGCTTGCTTCGCAAGACGAAACGTCTTGCGAGTTCTTGCAAGTTTGTTTCCTTTTTCTTAAAGCCGCTAAGCCGTTAATAGCCGCTAAGCCGGTAATAGCCGTGCTTCGCAAGACGAAAAAACCGCAAGACGAAGAGACTCGCGGAACGGATTAATTTCGTCTTGCGAGGCACCACTGTACTATGTTTTTATATATGCTGGAAGCTGCCCAAAGTGGCTGGGGCAGTACAGCCAGATGGGCGGGGTACAAATTATTATTATTATTATTATTATTATTATTATTATTATTATTATTTGTAGCCTTTGGTCAGAATTCAAATACAAATTGTGGTAAGTTTAGAAACGAGAAGACAACTTGAGTACTGTACTGAAAAGAATGCTATCCTGCTTTGCACAGGTTTTACTCTGTGCCTAATTAAGCGGATGCATCTGTCCTTATGAAGCATTAAAGTGTCCATTTATACAATAGCATTTATTAACACTTAAAAAACTTTTCTGCAGATATGACCATTTTATGAAGCATCTAACTACCTCTATGAATAAAGAATAGCATCATTGGAAGCACTTGCATACGTGGACAAGTGGAGGGTGGGCATGATGGCTTTCGTAAGGCTGCTAAGACGATTCACAATGAAACATTTGTCCCCGTGGAAACTTTGGAAGTTTACCTTCATTATTTTTATCTTCTTGATATTTTTGTTTCTGCTACAAAGAGAAGTTGGCATTCAGGATTTTAATGAGGAGCCTGGGAGCCCATCAAAAGATGGAAAGATTAATAATGTACTGGGTCTAGTATTAAAAGCTGTGAACAATATTAAAGTTGCAAAGCCAAAAATGCAGATTAAAGCGCCTATTAGGCAAATTCAAAAGGCAGGACAGAAGCGCTGTTTACCTGGCTCCTATACAGCAGCAGAACTGACACCTCACCTGGATCGACCCCCTCAGGACTCTAATGCTCCAGGGGCTTCTGGTAAACCATTCAAAACGGTCAATTTAAGTCCAGCTGAGAAGGAGGAAAAAGAACGCGGAGATGAAAAACATTGTTTCAACGCTTTTGCAAGCGACAGGATTTCTTTACACCGGGATCTTGGACCAGACACACGACCTCCTGAGTATGTTGAAGTATATTTGGATTTCTGGTCTTTAATTACATATGCAAAATATTGAAAAGGGGTTTTGATTCCCCATGTTCTGCATTGATATGTGCTTTGTCGCCACTATCATTAGCATAATTTCTAGCTACTTAATTTTGCATCTGTATGTATGAAGCTGTGTAAGTATGAGTACAGTAATCTTCTAATTATCTCTGATGGAAGCAAATAATGCATCTAAGAAATTCAATAGATTGTGATGTAAATTTGTTTGGGCTTGGTGCCCTTTCACACATTTCCTTTAAGAAAGGGGTTGGAAATTAAAACTCACCAGTGGACCAGATGCTTACTCTGTGCAAATTTGATGAGGTCAGGGACCCGCCCGCAACCTGTCATCACACTGATTTCAGATGACATGGCACTTTGATATCTCGATAGCCAACGGTCTGTCAGGATTTCAAAGCACAGCACAGGGCTCTTTGCAAGTACCTTTAAAATGGCACTGTGTTTTGAAGCCCAGACAATCAGTTGATTGTGGCAACTTCAAAATACTGCACAAGGCTATTTGCTACAAGTTGCTGAAGTGCTGCCAGTCATCTGATCATTGTGACTTCAGAAGCCCGCTTTGTCCTCGCCCAGCTGCCTTTTTGCCTTCCCACAACAGATGCAATATATGTTGTGAGGTGATTGCAGATGGGTGTGGCTTAGCCAGATGTTTGGCCAAATGGGCAGGTATAGCGAGCCTAGTTAGGGTCTGAAGGTTCCCCACCCCTGTTTGAAGATGTATTGATGAAAGGATGCCCTTTTCTTTCATCACAAGTGTCTAATCCTTGATAAATTGTAAATCCTGGACATTTTATGGTGGCAATTGTTCTAAATTGCCACATGCCCCTTGTGATGTATTACAAAAACATGTTACTGTATTGTTAGGATATTCTGGAAACAATTGCTCCACACAGATCTTGTGCATGGCTTTTTTATATTAGTACTGGTGTGAGAAAGAAGTTCCACCATACTTGCCAAGCTTTATCTGTGCCACATCAAGGTATCAGACTTATAATCCATTTTTCATTCTTAAAATTGTTTTTGTCATCTAGATGTATTGAGCAAAAGTTTAAACGCTGTCCTCCACTACCTACCACAAGTGTTATCATAGTTTTCCACAATGAAGCATGGTCTACTCTTTTAAGAACAGTTCACAGTGTGATGTATACTTCCCCTGCAATATTACTGAAGGAAATAATTTTGGTGGATGATGCCAGTGTAGATGGTAAGAACGTATAATGTTTGTGTGTGGTTTTTCACATTTGAGTTTTTCATATTATTTTGTGTTCCTGAAAATACACACTTTTTAAATAACAAAAAATATTTATATTTCTAAAGTATAAAGATCTCTCAAATTGAAATGATTTGTGCTTTCTCTTTGTCTCAGTTCATGATCCTTAATGCTTAATTACATTAGGCATGATGTCTAAATTGCCTATGGTTTGTGAACAGCCACCAAACTAGAATTTGAAAACATGACTTGACATAGGTTTGCAAACCATGGTTTGTGCTAACTGGCTTGATGTGATATCTGATTTTATAAGAGCAATAGCTGCAATTATGCTTTTGTCTCAAGAGGCTGCTGCACTATGGAGACAGGAGTGAATTTACCGACTTGTGAAGCTGGTGATGAGTGGGTGGAAAATAAAGCAGATGAGATACTCTAAATCATACTTTGTTGTCTGTACATTTGGAAGCTTAAACCATGGTTTGGCAGAATATCAAACCTGAGCTTCTATCTTAATTAGTAGCTGTTGTTTTGGGGCACCAGCAGCCCCTTCTCTTGCCACTCCTCCCCTTCCGTTATCTGCCAAAGAAAGAACGCCTGTAGTTCTGCTTCACAGCAAGTAAAGAAAGACTGGCTCAGACACTACTTTCTACATTTGTTTGAAGTGAGAGAATGCCTTTCTCCCACGTCTGCCTGATGCATTTGCCCCACTTCCCTCGCCACAGTTACTTTTGCAAGGCATAATATTTCAATGAAACGTATGCACACGTGACGTAAACAAATTATTGTTGCCTGTAAGCATTGGATTGTACATGCATATAGGACCCACGGGAATGTTACTCTCCTTTGTGAATGGCAGAAGGAGGGCTCCTGCTCTCTACAATCTGTGGCAATGAGAGAATGCATTCTCTGAACTAGGCAATTGACTTGCTATCTTGCAGCAGTCTTAAAGGGTGAGTCTCTAGGTCAGGACCAGGCAAATTTTCCCTCTCCCCCCCCTTCAAAATTATGAAACACACCTTTAAAAAGGCTAATTTAGTTATGAAAAGAATTCAGTAATGCCCAACCTACTTCATAAATGTGGTAAGGGTAACTAATGTTATTTGACTCCCCTGCCAAACGAGTAAAACTTGTTCTCTTTCTGTCAGTAGAATACTTTTCAGTAGAATGTCTTTTCAAAAAAAATTATCATAGAAGTGGAGAGTTGGAAGGGACCCTGCAAATCATCTAGTCCACCCCCCTGCAATGCAGAATATGCAGATGTCCTGTATGGGGATCAAACCTGCAACCTTGGCATTAATCAGCACCACGCTCTAACCAACAGAGCTGTCAAGAAGATATGATGACTTGGCAATGCTTTGTACTAGAAATTGCATTTCCCCTAAATTCTGGTTCCTGGTGTATTTGGGGTCGTATCTCCCTTCCCCCATTCTTCAATAAAAGCAGACACTCTTATCCCTTCAAGCTGAAACTACAGTACAGGCATTTCAGAATAAATGTATTTTGACTTTCCTCTTATTGAGTGGCTAGTTATGAAAAGTGAACTTAACGTTTGCCTTTTATTAAATTGGCAAAGACTGTCTTGTTGTCTTTTTAGAATACTTGCAGGATAAATTGGATGATTATGTGAAACAATTCCAGATAGTTAAAGTTGTCCGGCAAAAGGAAAGAAAGGGGCTCATCACTGCTCGATTATTAGGCGCTTCAATAGCAACTGGAGAAACCCTCACTTTTTTGGATGCACACTGTAAGTAATAGCGTTGGACTGTAATAGTGTTTAGTTAGCTAACAAATATTAAAGAATTTTCGTATTGATTTCTTCCTTGTCCTGTTTTAACTGTTTTTCTAACAAATAACACTATAGAAGCATTGCTGTTGAAAATGCACAGCTTTTAAAAATATGGAACTGATTGCAGAAAAACTATTTATTTAAGCTAAGGACAGCTTTTACACAAATGCACATGAATCTCGGGAGAAAGCCAAAGCTAGTCCATTTTTAAAATATCTAATTTGTGTTTCGGACTGAGGTTTAGGATGGGAAAAATCAAAGTTCATTTTCATGTCGTGCTAGCCATATTTTTCATTTGATCATGTATGTGATATTTCATAGCAGGTATCTGTAAGCTAACAATATTTCCAGCATACATGTGGATTTTTAAAAATAACAGCAATCCTATGTAGGTCTACTCAAGCGGGACATGGGTGGCACTGTGGTCTAAACCACCAAGCCTCTTGGGCTTGCTGATTGCAAGGTCGGCAGTTCAAATCTGCTCGATGTTGCTCTGTCCCAGCTCCTGCCAACCTAGCAGTTTGAAAGCATTCCAGTGAAAGTAGATAAATAGGTACCGTTGCGGCAGGAAAGTAAACAGCATTTCCATGCACTCTGGCTTTAGTCACGGTGTCCCGTTGTGCCAGAAGTGGTTTAGTAATGCTGGCCACATGACCCAGAAAGCTGTCTGCAGACAAACTCCTGCTCCCTTGGCCTGAAAGTGGAGATGAGCGCCGCACCCCATAGTCAAATTTGACTGGACTTAACCATCCAGGGGTCCTTTACCTTTACCTTACTCAGAAGTAAGTAAATTCAGTGGGACTTACTTCCAAATAAATGTGCATAGGATCACAGCCTAAGTGAAATTAAAATGTTCCTGTAACTGCTTTTATGAAAGTGGATAAATCCAGTATTATAATCATTATTTTACCTCCTGTTTCCTCTTTCAGGTGAATGTTTCTATGGCTGGCTAGAGCCATTGTTGGCCAGAATAGCTGAAAACAATACTCGTGTTGTAAGCCCTGATATTTCATCTATAGATCTAAATACATTTGAATTTATGAAACCTTCCCCTTATGGTCAAAACCATAATAGAGGGAATTTTGACTGGAGTTTGTCATTTGGATGGGAATCTCTTCCTGAACATGAAGGCAAGAGAAGGAAAGATGAAACGTACCCTATTAAGTAAGCAATGAAACTTAATTTTTTTTCCATTTACAAAATCTTTACTTGAAAATATTGTTCCAAAGAATAATTCACATGTAACTTTTTTTTCATTTTGGTTAAAAGAGAAAAAGAATTGCAGAAGGATCAGTGAGGCTCTGTCTTCTACATCTTGTATTCTTTTCGCATGGTACTTCAGGTTTTAAACATTTTTTTCAAAGAACTCTTGAAATTTTAAGCTTTAGTAGGACCTGAACCACCTCAAATAAGCTCTATCAGTAGAAGAGTTGTATGTATATAAAAAGCCATCAGTTGAATTTTAAATAGAGTGCTATGGATGCTAATGTTGCTTTTTTGGCTGTAACAAAAGCCTGAGTGATGGCATCCTTGGCTTTGAAGGTAGGATGATGGGAATATCTGAACTGGTTGAGCAATGCAGCTGTTGGAGGCAGAAAGAGACTGTAAGAGAAAAGTTGGCATCCCTAATTAAACCCGCTTGTTGCTTCGGGTTTAGAATTTCTGCACCACTACAGAATGCAATTTACACATAGCTCCTTGATTTCATTGAAATTTACCTTAGAAATGGAGGTGGGGCATATAATGACTGATTAAAACTAGGGCACATTTCCTTTCCCCTCCCTTCAGTTGAGTTGAGCAATCCCTCCCCCTGCCCCATATCACACTGTTTCATTGTAGTAATACAACTACTGCACAAGTCATATTTCAGAAGCAATTTCTTCCCAGGACAGTTGTTGACCATTTTATTGTTCTGGCTTTGAAATGGATGCTAATGTGCATATAGCTCATGGTAGTAGCTTCTCTACAAAGCCCAAATAGTAGCCAAACATTTTCACTAATGTGTTTCCCTCTCCTGTTGGCAGTTTGCCTTTGCTGAGGGTTCATAAAGTGTTGATTGCCCATTTATCAGGCTTTCCTGAAGAGGGGTGGGCTTTGGGATCTTAAAAAGAAAAATAACAGGTTTCCCCCAGATTGGGAAATTGCTAGCTTCATGAAAGATTATTTCCCCCCCCCCTTACCTTTTTTGCAGAACACCCACTTTTGCAGGAGGCCTCTTTTCAATATCAAAGGACTACTTTTACAAAGTTGGAAGCTATGATGAAGAAATGGAAATATGGGGAGGAGAAAATATAGAAATGTCTTTCCGAGTAAGTTTAGAGACACAATATTCACATGAAGGTGCAATGGCAAAACCTCGGTTGCATTTCAGCTGCTCCCTATAGAAGTAGGAGACCAGATGAGCTTGGTCTTCGGCTAATGATAACCTGGAGGGAGAAACTACTGTAGTGTTTAGGGGTGGAAGGATCTGTCCATTTCAGTCCTCAGTTTTCCAGCCTTAAATTTGTTTTCTCAACATTTTGGAACAATTTGTGATTGATTGATTTTTTAATATCCTCATGAAAACGGACTGTAACAGGGTTACATGCATGCATATACACACTTCGCTGATGCCCACAGGGGCCAGGAACGGAACCCCCACGTGAAATAGTGTCCTCCTGTACTTATTTATTTCCTGGCGCCATGCATATGCACAGTCGTGCGCGAGTTGATTGCGTGTAAGTGCGGGGGGGGGGACGCCTGTAAATCTGAATTTTGAATAATGCCTGTGTTTCAGTTTGCATATTGTTATGGAAAATGGGTAGATTCATATTTAAATGTGGGCTGAATTGGATCTCTCCCCATTCCTAGTAGTGTGGTGTCAGGTGCTTGGTTGCTGCATCAGTATTGCAATAATATCTTACTTAAGGTAGAAATGTTTTCTTTCCCTGTTGCATGTAGGTAGACAGGGTTTGATTTCAGAAAGCATTTTTATACAAATGCTTCTAGAGCAATATTACCTGCTATCTGGTGATTCTGTTAAAGGCTGATAAGTGAAACTGTTATTTTTTCAGGTGTGGCAATGTGGGGGACAGCTGGAAATTATACCTTGCTCAGTTGTGGGCCATGTATTTCGCAGCAAGAGCCCCCATACCTTTCCAAAAGGGACTCAAGTGATCACCCGTAATCAAGTTCGTCTTGCAGAAGTCTGGATGGATGACTATAAGTATATATTTTACCGGAGAAACACAGAAGCAACAAAAATAGTTAAACAAGTAGGTGACGATGGTGGTGGTATTAGAAATCAGTTGCTGCACTGAAGTTCTTGGTGAGCAAAAATTATTTATTGTGAAAATATATAAACGTAGTAGGCACTCTGTATTCAATTTGCTCTGTTTGGCAATATATTGAATAGATTCAGTAGTGCCCATTACCTCTTCATTTAATCTTTTATACAATACCTCCCCAAAGCTCTTTGAACTAGAGTAGTGCCGTTAATTGCATCCACCAACTTCTAGGAGGAATGAGGGGGGTCTTTCTCAATAATTCTCTTTAACATTCAGTTGATTAATATATGTGAAGTCTAAAAGAATGACTAAAAAGAATCTTGATTTTACTAAAGCAATATTAGCCAACTAGGATAAATATTAGAAGGCTAGTACCAGGCAGTATCTGTAAGATGCAATGATTGCAAACAGCCTGGATGACTTTAAAAAAAATATGCACAGAGTATAAGGCTGTGTTCTACCTCTACTTTCAATGGCAGTATACATCTGAATGCCAGAGTCACAAATGAGGAGAGTGCTATTGCACTCAGATTTTGCTTATGTGCTTCACATAGGCATCTAATTGGCTGCTGAACCTAGACAGGACTTTGACTTGGTTCAGTAGGCTTTTCTTATGTCATGTTAAATGTAAATAAGGAATTAACAACATTTGATAACCTCAAAAACCCCAAGTTGGCCAGTTGTTTAGGGGGGAAATTAAAGTTAGTGATTTTAAAAATGGATGGCAAAGGATAATGTAGATTTGCATCTCAAGTGTGCTTGTGTGTATTCCTTGCTCTATAAGTTTATGTCAATTATTTACTTATTTATATATAAGAGAGAGAGAGAGAGAAGGAATTATTGGGTGATTATTCAGGTTGTTGCCACCATTATTGGGTAAGTGGTGTTCCTTGCTCCAATTCTGATTCTTTGGGGATACATGGAAAAGGATAATTTGATCAGAACATATAATGATTATAGGAAATGTGTTGAGGGCTGCAAGAAGTTGAGTGGCTTCTAAATGGACCTCCAATCTCTATTTTCATTATTAAAAAATACTTTAAAGCTTGTTTAACTGAATTAATTTACAAATTCCCTGTGTGTTTACTTTCAGTAAAAAGTATTATTTGTGATTTGGTTTTGTTATAACACTGTTTAGTATTGTTTCAACAGAAAACGTTTGGTGACCTCTCAAAAAGATATGAGTTAAGGCAACAATTACAATGTAAAAACTTTACGTGGTACCTTAGCAATGTTTATCCTGAGGCATATGTACCAGACTTGAATCCTCCATTATATGGATTTGTGAGTATGCTTTTCTTTTTACAAGAAGAAATAAAGCAAATGAGCAGAGGATTTAGCTATGCTATTCTGCACTTACATTTCCATTTTGTACATTCCTTAGTTAAAAAATGTTGGAAGAAGAACATGCCTGGATGCTGGAGAAAATAATAATGGTGGCAAACCATTGATTATGTATACATGTCATGGGCTTGGAGGAAACCAGGTAAAATGTTGCATTTGGTTTTTATGTAACTGCAGATAAGCACAACAATGAGTTTTCAGACCATGTTTTAAATTTATCAGGGTCTCATGCCTAGAATATCTACATGAAACCACTAGGTGGGGTTATCTGGAGGTTTGGAGTAAGTTGTCAGCAGTATGCTGATGAGACTTAGCTCTAGTTCTCCTTTACATCTGTAGGTGAGGCAGTGGAAGTAATGGACTGGATGAGAGCCAACAAACTGAAACTCAATCCAGATAAGAGTGAGGCCCTGTTAGTGAGTGGTTCCCTAGACCGGATGGGCAGGAGATTGCTCTTGATGGGGTTACACTTCCTCTGAAGGAGCAGGTTCGTAGCTTGGGGATATTCCTGGATCCTTTGCTGTCGCTCGAGGCTCAGGTGGCCTCAGTTGCCCGGAATGTCTTCTATCAGCTTTGGCTGGTGGCCCAGTTACGTCCCTACCTGGACAGGGATAGCCTAACTACTCTTGTCTATGCTCTGGTAACCTCAAGGTTAGATTACTGCATTGTGTTATAAAGAGCAAGGAGCTCTCCAAGGGCAGCACCAAATCTGGAGCCATCCCTATGGTTAGAAGTTACTGTGTAATCACTGTTTTATTTGGGAAGCCTGATGTTCTTTATGTTCCTGTTTGAGTGTGTATATTGTAAGCATGTCTCGCATTTAAGGTGTTCAGTATAAAAAGAGGGCATTGTGTTAGGGGAGAGTAACCTACCATTGCCATAGATGCAGTGGAACCCAAAGTGAAGACCAACTCTCAATTTGAGTCTCCTTCCTCTGCAGAGTCCACATCTTTTATAACCTCACGCTAATAACTTGGATGGCTTCCATAATGCTATATACTGGCTTGGTTACACTAGTTCCCTGACTGTCTCTGCCATGCACTCTTCATCTGTCTTTCAGCTTTTTGTCTGCTTCTGATCTATTCTGCGGGAACACTCTTCATTTCTGCATTGTAAACTTAATAATCTTTACTCTTTCCCTCCCTTTTTCTTCTGCTGCTTTTTCCTTTGTCTTTAGAACTTTTGCTGTCAAGGAGGAAACCAGTGGGTGACTAAGCAACCAGGCCTGTGTCATCTGTCCTGTCATACTTACAGCCTCATGCTGGGAGGTTAGAGTGGTCTTCCCTATGCTAAAACCACCTACCATTTTGAGCCTATGTACATTCCTAGATGGCTGAACTTTTAACAAACACTTCTCGGTGCACAACTTGTGGAGCAGAAATGGTTTAGAACATATTGCATCCCTTAAATGTAGCACCTCTGGAAATGTAACTAGGCGTTGCAAATCATAGTTCATTTCATTCAATAAAAAAACCCACTCCATTTTTATGTAAATTACCCTATCGTAAAAAATACTGTAGTGGCAAATAGGAAAGCTACATATCCAACGCTGAAACTATCAATTGTCCATCAAAAGATATGGACAATAATTCCATTGTTTGATTCCTTAGTGGTTACCTAGTAACTTGCTGATCTCAATGGTCTCTTCTATTAAATAGTATTTGTTTTTGAATTTCATACTATCAGTTTGATACAGGAAGAGAAGAACAATCTGGTATCCTATATTCATTTAATAGCATATATATTCATCCCACCAATCCTCCCAAAGGAGGTCCAGGGCATATTGCAAGTGTCATTATTTGCCTGGTCTGCATCAGCATTGGCAAGGGTGCCATGCCAGTGGAAGACATTTCACTTATACTGTTAAGGCAGTGCTGGCACACTATGGCTGGACAGCTTCTTCTATCCCTTGCAATTGCCTTGGATATGATCTTGCCAAAGTTAAGCACTGAAATCAGTGTGGCTTTAAAAGTGCTTAACTTTGAGTGGTTAGCACCTTTCAATTGCAAGAGTTCTAGGATCCTTAGACATTGCACAGACTTTTCATACTAATTCAGGGTTCGATCCAGAATGTCTCTTTCATGAATGGAAAGGCTTCCTGTATTTGCTGTTCATAGAAGGGACCAGAGTCAAGCAGAAGCTGCTCCTCTAGAATAAGGGAGAGGAAGGCAGTTTTCACCAATTCTCCCTGCAGGCCCCAGTGCAACTTCCTACATTGTTCCAGAGAGCCTCCTACCTTCCCAAGCAGCTCTGGGATCTGCTCTGTACAAATTGGTTTCATTGGAAATCTGCCACATAGCTATCTCTCCTGCCTTGTCTCTGAGTGGGAGACAGAAGGGAAACGAAAATCTTTCCATTTTCACCCTACTATTTTTAGTGACCTGCCCTTGTCATGATTTAGGCATTGTGTATAAAGCACTCCACCTGCAAAGCATAAAGTTGTTCTGTAAGCTTTAATCTGGAGTTCAAAGGGACTCCGTGAATTTGTATGGTTGAGTTTTGGGTGATATTTCCCTGACTGAATTGTTTCTTTATATAGTACTTTGAATATTCTGCATATAATGAAATTAGGCACAACATCCAGAAAGAGCTGTGCCTGCATGCTTTATCAGGAGAAGCACAACTTCATGACTGTGGCTACAAAGGGAAGAACAGCAGAACCCCTCCCGAAGAGAAATGGGAGATCCGAGAGGTATTCTCAAATCAATTCAGCCAAGCAAAAAGAGAACATATAGCTTTTGTAGTTTAGAGCTGCTAGTTAATTAAATGTGGAGGAGGAGTTTTACATTTACATGTACTGCTCCCATACGATAGGGCAGCTACAGGAGCAAGTTCTTCTTAGAGATATTTATTGTTGCATATAAGCTCCTCTGTGCAAGTCCCTGTCCCCCAGTCTGAAACTTGGCACATACTTAGAATGACTTTTCTTCAGAACATGTGTGAGGTTTTCCAGCTCCTTCCTGGTAGCTGAAAAGTTCTTCAGATGTGTAGAAAAAGCTGTAGTTCAGAGCCCTATGTAAAAACTTTCTAGATCTCATTCTCCCTTCTCCCGGTACCTCTCAAGAACAGCTCTTTACAGCCATGTTTTTAGATACCATTGTAGAACAGTGAACCCATTATGATAAAGGGAAGCATTAAAAAAACAAAAACAAATATAGCTACCTTCAACCCACTGTAAGCCTCTAGGATATAGCAGGCTCTAAATTCAAAGATGTAAATACAGTGGTACCTCGGGTTACATACACTTCAGGTTACATACACTTCAGGTTACAGACTCCGCTAACCCAGAAATAGTGCTTCAGGTTAAGAACTTTGCTTCAGGATGAGAATTGAAATCATGCTTCGGCGGCAGCAGGAGGCCCCATAGGCTAAAGTGGTGCTTCAGTTAAGAACAGTTTCAGGTTAAGAACAGACCTCCAGAACCAACTAAGTACTTAACCCGAGGTACCACTGTATAGCTGCAGCTTTCAGCACTGGGGAATTTGTTGCAGAATCATCAGTCTTTGTCAGCATTGATAGAATTTTGTCTCTCTAAGTATTCATGATGTCTACAAAATCTTGGCTAGATTAATGGGCAGAACCAGAGAGACGGTGTGATATAGTACAATCACCTGTCGTACTTGGATTGGGCAGAGCCAGTTTCAAATTCCCACTCAGCCCCAAAGTTTACTGAGTGACTCTGCATAAGCCATTGTATGACCAATCTACTTCACAGCATCGTTTTAAGGTTAAAGTGGGTAGTCCTGGCATGCCCCCCTAATCTCCTTGGAGAAAAAGTAATATAAATATGTGTCTTCTCTCTCTCTCTCTCCTTTTCTAGGACCAGTCGTTGTACAATGCAGCCTTAAAGATGTGCCTGACAGGAAATAAAGAACATCCAAGCTTGGTGACGTGTAACCCCTCAGACGTCTTCCAAAAATGGATTTTTAGCCGAAACAATTAAGTACTGGTAATTAGGAGATGTTTTAAACGGGAACTGTATCTCCTTCAAAATTATCCAGCTTGAACTTAAATTATGCAGAGTCATCTTAACTGTAAAAAATAAAAAAGCATTTTTACTTCAAAATTAAAATGCACAATTTAGCTGGCAAGAAATCCAAGGAATACTTAAGTTTCTTGATTCTTAAAAAAATGTTTACAAATATTGGAAATTATATTTCCAGTATATATATTTTTGTAAGACCTCTGTCTTTAAGACACAATTCTCAGTGGTTTGGGGATAGTTTGTAAAAGTTTTACATACATGCATTCACAAACACATTCTGGTCAATAACTGAAGAAACTTGTTGATAGAGGTTACGGAGATGATTTCCCCCCCTATATTATCTGAAAAATAGAGTGCCTTATAGGTGTTCTTTATAATTTAAACTGTGACAGCTTTCCTTAAATGACCATCCCTGGTTTACACATTGATCTAGTTGGCTCAGTGTTTATAGCAAGAAATATCTATGAAGTTTATCAATTCTTCTGAAACTATGAAGTTCTATTACCACTCCAATGAATAATACTTTCTTGGTGTTAGCCCCTTGCAAACTGGTTGGGTCTCTGTATGCTGCTGTTTTTGGTGTTCTGTTGTTCATTATGCTTATCAGTGGTGAGCTTTGTATGTTTAAGATTTTTGAAACTGATTACAAAATTGTTCTCTTTTGGTTGAAAATGTGTTTATTGCTTCTCCTGATATATCACATTACTTGCTTCTTAGACAATTCTGGCATCTCTCATTTTTTTTCTATTATGTGTGGGTTCCAAGTTTCCATATCTCTAATTCCTATTTTCCTCTTTCATGTGTTCATAATTTAAAACATGACCCTTTTAATTCAAAACTATTGAAAACCATTTTAAGTAACTGGTGTCTTTCATCAGAAATTTGTAATTTTTTAACTACACCTACTGGGTTTAGAGTTAGGATTATTTGCTTTCTACATGCAAGGAATTTTAACAAAATATCTTACTGGTTGCACATTCTGTGATTAAACACCTTAATTAAGAGTCAGTATTCAGCACTTTTTGCTGCTTAGTGTGATGGGTCAAGAATGCTGAGAAAAATAGAGGGGTTTTCAAGTACAATGCTACATCAGCTCATGGATTTTCACTCGGGCAACTAGATTCTTCCTCCACAAATCTGCTCCAGAGGGTTGGGGAGAGCCCCTGGAACAGATTTAGAGGGCATGCTGGGGAGGAGAACATTACATTGTGATAGAATCAGATAATTGGAATTACATTTGACCCACCCTTAGCAATTAAACCAAGAAGTTGCAAATAAAAGCTCACTCTTTGTGAATAATTCCTCTAGCGTTTAAAAGAGAGGGGACGGATGCCACCATGGAGGAGCTTTCCCCCCTGAGCATTGCATTTATATATTTGCTATTCATTCATAGATTCCTGTGCTGTGTTTCATGTGTACACAGAGACCTTACAAAGCTGGCCCCAGCTCTTCCCCATGGAGGAGTTAGAGGGTTGCCACCAGAAATGAAAATTGCTCATCACCACCCCAGGCATATGTGGAAGCACTTTCTGTGCTCTTGTGGGCCTTTCTGGATACCAAAGCTGGTCTTCAGATCTTTTGGGTTACAACTCCTGTCAGCCCCAGCCAGCATAGCCAATGTTCAGGGGTGATGGGGGGGGCTGTAGTTCAAAACATTTGGAGGACATTAGCTTGGGGGAGGTTGTTACAGCACTTGCCATCTCAAGAAGCTGATAAAGCAGTTTTCTTTATTTTGGTATCTCTGGTTTTAAACAACTACTTGAGGCCTTGCATATACACTATTGAAAGCTTATTGTTGAGATGCTGCTTGCATAAGCAGAGTTTTGCAATGTGGCAGATGGCTGAAGCAAAACTATTGTTCTTCCTTAAAAGTATGTTTTCTGTTTATACAGTGGTTTTCCTCTACTTTGTTGATTTGGTGTTTATGTCACAAAGTTAACTACTACTTTTTCTTCCTCTGTGCTTGCATTGCCCCAAACGTTCAACCAAAACTATAAACTGAGGCTATAATTATGACTTCATAGCACTTCGTTATATTTTTATCTTTTCCGCAGCATGCAGTTCTGCTGTGTCTCTACCCGTTATATTTTTATCTTTTCCGCAGCATGCAGTTCTGCTGTGTCTCTACCCCACCACCGTACTGGTCTTCCATCTGATTTAAACGTGATACATTTAACTACAGTTGTTCTAGGCTGAGTTCTTAATTCTTCCTTGTACTCCTAAGCATTTATTTCAGGTATACGTGATATGCTGTACAGAACGCCTCTTTAATTTTGTTGCATAAACGTAATAAAATAAAAATATTTTGATGCAAAAGCTACCCTTTGGGATTTTGGGTGTGTGTGCAGCTTTCTGTTTCTTTGCTTGGGTCTGAGAGTGCTCCAGTGACTTGGTATTGATGTTCAAAGCCACTAAAAAAAGAAACACAAGAAACCTTGGCAACTGCAGCAGCACAGCCCTGGGACCAACCAGGAACAAATGTTTGGCAGTTCTGCAGGCAAAGTGTAGCCATGTTTGTGTATTTGTATTGCTCACTCTGGCAGGATGGAACAGGCAGCCTGATGTGGAATTAATCTGGATTATCCAGATTAATTTCTAGAGCATCCTTTGGACATTAAAAAAATGAATGCATTGCAAATTACTGAGGCTCGTAGGCACTGGCCTGTAGCAGTAACATGGTTGCATGCCATCTAGAACAGGCACCCCCAAACTCAGCCCTTCAGCTGTTTTGGGGCTACAATTCCCATCATCCCTGACCACTGGTCCTGTTAGCTAGGGATGATGGGAGTTGTAGTCCTAAAGCAGCTGGAGGGCCGAGTTTGGGGATGCCTGATCTAGAAGCTACAGCGTCTATCAGCACCTTATGTTCAAATGCATGCTCTGATTTTTCTCTTATTTCACCTAATCCTCTGTTTTTAAATTTCTTCAGCTATGATTTTCTAGTGCCCCCTTCCTTTAATAACCTGGTACCTTTTGGAGCCCTACCTCCTTTCTTAGGCCTCTGGTTCCACAAGGTTCTTTGGAATCTGAGCAGCTCCATTAAAGGCAGACCCAAATCCAGAAGTAAAAAAGTAGGACCACCCATCTGTTTCTGGCAAATGGGAAATAAGTTGTTGCATTCTCCAAAGCTGTTTTCTTGCATTGAAGTGCTTGTGAAAAAGATATTTGTGTTGTTTTGTGATTGTGTCAGTATGTCTCCTCCAAAGGAAGCCACAGAGCTCCATTGATCATCATTCACAGCAGAATAAATAGCAGCATGGCAACAGATGTTCATGTCTTTCTCTTGCATCAATCCGGGTAAGGTACACCATACATGTAACCTCGTTCAAATAATAATATATTTTGTAAACTGCACCATTCTATTATTACAGTTCTATCAATCCTGGGTTATCTTTTATTTTAGTTAATTTCTGTTTTCAAATTCATTGGGACTGTAGCTATAAAATAGCCAAAGGGAATCAGTGAATGGTATAGCTCCTGAAAGGAACATGTTAAATGTTGGGAGATTCATTCCCCGTGTCTGCATTGTATTCAACAGGATAATATTAAGTATCAGATTTATCTAGACTACTGATTATGTACTTTGTGGTTTTATATTCTGATTTTATCCTGTGAACCACCCTGAGAACTGCAAATATAGGGCGGTATATGCATTTATTAATAATAACAACAATAATAAATGCCCCTTTTTAAAACAAGCAAACCAACAAACCTTTTGAAGTTCTTATTTATTAAATGCTTGTTCAATAAACTAACCAGCAGAGGATGCTGTTGCAAAATTATTTCCAATAGCATCTAGAAAAACAGCTTCCTAATCCTTTGTGTAAACCCACATGAACCAAATTCCACTGACAAGGGTGGTGTTGTTTCTGATGGCACAGAGTTTTACCCATGAAAGAAGTGATTGGCTGCTTTGAACATGTGTTTGTTTAAATATTCACATATCGCTGTATCATATCGCTGTATTACAAGATAAAAACCTAAAACTAAACAAGAAAGTCATATAAAGCCCAGTTTAAAATAAAAAAGAACTTAATAACAAACATCACTAGGCCATTGTGGGGATGTACACTTAATTGCCTGGCAGAACAGAGAAGTGTTTAGCAGCCGTTTAAAAGTTGGCACAGAAGGCGCCTGCTGAATCTCTTGTTAGCAGGGTATTTCACATGACTGGGCTGATAACTCTAAAGGCTGGATTTCTCATTGTCAAACAAGCCTCACCAAGGGCAGGTGGCGATAAATAGAAGCAACCTGCCCCAGTTCTCTCCCAGCCCTATCCCCACTCCCAAATCCTAGTCCTTTGCATCTCTGTATCTTTTAAATTACAGCTCTTCTCAGCCCCTTGAAAATAGGGCTCTCCTCTTAGAGACCTTGCCAACACTTCTGCGACCTTAAGAGCTAACCAGCTCCCAGAAAGGTACTGTTTTTCCACCACCACTGTTTAAACTGCAGGCTTCTCCTGTTGCTGATTCTGCTGTTGGAAGACTAGCAGAAGATGCATAAGAGAGTGATGTGGAGGAAACTGGAATGAAGAGGTGGGGAGCAGCAAAGTGTAGCTGGCTGGGTTACCAGTGGGAACGCAACTTTTACTGGGACAGAAGTCATATTGAAAGTCCCATGATTTAAAAAAAAAAAGTTTACTTCTGAAAGAAAAAAAGGAATTGCAGGGCTGGGAAGAATGATGTTTTTCATGCTTAGCGCCTCAAAGCCCTTCTCAATGTCATGTAGAATACAACAAAGGTTAAATTAGTCAATTCATTGTGGCCCACCAGTGCCTGGTGATTTTTTGCACCATAAGACACACCTAGTTTTTAGAGGAGGAAAACGGGGGGAAATATTCTGAATCAAATGTTGTACTAAACTATGTAATAAACTACTGGTATATCAGAGTAAGTGTGAGAGGGACAGGAGCTGTATGCTTATTTAGTGTGCGCGCTCAAGGAGCGACAAGCGGGGAGGAAGCTGAGCCGGGGAGGAGGGAGGAAAGGAGAGCCCGTCCCTCCCTCCTCTGCAGCTCGCTTTAAAGCAGCAAAGCTCTCCGGCTTTGCTGCTTCAAAGCGAACCGGGAAGGAAGGGGAGCCATGGATCCTCCGCTCGCGACTGCAGCGGGATCCCGCCGCCGTCCATAGGCATTCACTCCATAAGACGCACAGACATTTCCCCTTACTTTTTAGGAGGAAAAAAGTGTGTCTTATGGAGCGAAAACTAAAGTATTTTGGACTTGATCTGATCCAGGAAAGGCACTTTGCTTGTTTTCAGAATTCCCTGTCATGGATAAGTTAAGCTCTACAGTTACGAGATCTTGAATAATATACTCTTGCTTTGGAAATTTTAAAATGTATCAGTAGGCCATAGGGATTCTAGGAAAACCAAGATGGTAGACTATACAAGACAGGTTCGCCTACCCCTAATGCTGGGTTTGTACCACTCAGGATAAAAGTGCTATGTGGCCTTTTGAATGGGGGCATCTGGATAAGTCCTCATTAGTTTTGCAGATTTCCAAAGTAGTAACTCCCAGGTAGAGAAGAATGAACGCATGAATAGTTTGTAATTTTATAAGGACAAGTTATTTGTTGTTTACTGTTGTAATAATTGTTTTCTCAAAATTTTATCTTCTGAACCATGAAAAGAAATAAAAACAGTATTAAACTTTAAACGATTAAGATACCCCTTCCCCAGTACAAAAGAGGCAGTAATAGATGTAACGTAGAAACCTGATTTACTTTGTTGCAAACAAATAGACAATAAATATATATTGTACAATATATAGTAAAAATACAGCATAATACGAGTGCCACTAAGAAAAAAAATAACCTAATTTTAAGACTTATAAATGCTTATTTTGTAATATATACATTGCAGAAATAAGCCACAATAAATACATCAAATTACATGTCATTCATCATAAATACTGAAAATATAAATACAAGATACAGTTAAAATAAAAGATTACAGCATAAGGTCCAGGTTAAGTTTTGTCAAATGTTTTTCTTGCCTACATTACCCTTTTGGTATTTGTGAAGTTGCAACTTATAAAGCAAAATTAAATCAACACATGGAGGGAATAATGCCAATTATGGGTTTTGAGTTTTACATTAACATTCTATTCTCTTGCCATAAACGTCTTGGAAGAATGCCTGAGGAACAGAAAACTGGGAGCAAGTGACCTGGTCAGAACAGGGGCCCACAGTAGCTGAGCCAAAGCTACCTTGCATAACACTAACCACCAGTGAGAGGCTTTGGGTGGTGGTGTGTAGCTTCTGTCTACAATGGCTAAGTAGAGAGACCCATCCATGGTGATTAAAAACCACCCTCATAAAAAGATAATCATGTGTATCTACCCTCAAATGTGTTAAGTTAAAGCAGCATTACGGTTATTTACAATTTTCAAGCAGCTATGAGAATCTACTTCTACATCTTAAAGCACGAGTTCTGATTTTTTGTTTTTCCTGAATTGGAAATACCATTGGACCCACGGCTGTATACACTATTTACTTTAATTCTTGAGAACATTCCAGATCAGAGTTACAGATGAGCTTTGTGTTTTTCTTTCCGTATATCAGTGGCAATAGAGAAAGAAAAAAGAAGGGACAGTAGATAGGGTAAGTCATACAGAGCTAATAATTGTCCAAAGCAAAGAGATTCCTTATGGGTGAGTTTTCTTACATAATGCATACACAGTGTGAATCAGTATAAGCTGCATCACTCTAATAAAGTGCTGGGTCACACCTGTCCACACAATGCTTTCCATTTTGAAAACCTTAATAGCAAAGTAGGTAAATGAAAGAAAGAAAGAGCAGGTCAGTTTCATTATGGCGAGTTCCAAGCTGTTGGGAGAGGAAGGGATTTTTCTTTACTATTTATGTCTTATCAAATTTCTAGTACCTAAGATACTTTACATGTGTTATTTTTACCAACTCCACCCCTAGTCTTTTTCCAAACGAAACATCTGTAACTTAGTCCACTGAATGAAGAATTACTGAATGAATGGATTACTTTGCATGGATGAGGTTAATATGGAAGCCATCTGAATCAATAGGTATGAAATAGTAAAAGCTTTAAATTCATGCTCCTATATTAATATTTCTTTTGGCTGTAAACAAACGAGTTTCAGGTCACCTAGGTAACTACCCTCAGAGGGAAAAAGTGAAAACACCCCATTAAAATCTACATAGTTAAGGTTTTTGGGGGCAGTGAGGAAAGGCTATTTTCACCATGCATCGCAAATAAAATTTCCTAAATGGAATTTTGGTGGACTGCCACTCCAACCCTACGGTTTTCTTAACAGACAGCTCAAGGAATAGCTTGCACTGCCGTAGATGAGGCAT